TATTATTATTATTGTTGTTGTTGTTGTTGTTGTTGTTGTATGCGTATTGTTACTTCAAGTTAAGTCAAATTCACCACAAAACATAAGTATTGGATACTTTGTGAACAGGACGCTTAGTTCCCATTAGGACATTGGAGCAACTAGAGTCTAGAGATTTTTCTCCGAGAAGGACACGGAAATTCAGGACCCCACTTGGGTCAGCCTACAGTTCTCTCACGCAGACCAAAGCCTTGACCAACTGCGCAAAGCTGCAAGCATGCTCTATTATAACGGCGAAGTAATACAGTGAGAAATGTACCCCACTAGTGGTACTTTATCATCAGCTGTCTTACTTTTACTGCAAATACGTTTAGGAAAATATACCCAATCTTACAAGACCTTTGAATTTTTATTATTATTTTATTTTCTGTCTGGTAAGTATTTTACATAAGGACATATTTGCGCGCTGGACACACTAGATTCTAGATCTTAACATTTTCAGATGGTTGGAAATTTTGAATTTTGCCCAGGTGGCGGCCGAAGCCTAGAGTCTACACTTATTTTAGCTATTTTGAACCACCGAGGGATCTTTAACATGGCTTTTCGTCCTTGTCTGAGAAGGCTATGAGTAGATCTTTCCTACCAGAAGATAAGGCGTGTGAATGAAAGACAGCAGTAAGAAAGAGCCAAGGAGTAGCAGTAGAAAGACTGCAGAAAGAGTCAGGAGCCCAGATGAGGGGGCAAAGGGGGTGGGGGCTGAAAGTGAAGACGAAAGCAGACGTCAAAACATTGTTAGTAATGTTAGAGCACAGGAAAGGACGTGAAAGGAGAAAATATTAGAGAAGAAAATGTTCCGTCCCTATCCGGATTCGAACCCGAAACCTATTGAATGAGAGACGAACACATTAAACCTCTAGGCCACGAGAGCCCCCATTGAAATTTGTCACCCCAATATTTCTTTGAATTAAAATAAGCTGTAGGCAACAATCAAAACTAGGTTAATTGATACCATAATTCGTATATATTGATACTTAATAGATCTATGCTTATTATATGAGTTGCAGTCCTGATCAGTAAAGGTATTGATCGTTATTGCGTCTGAGATTTGAAGTACGCACCGTATTAGTCATACACGTTTCTCTACATTTGTTCTTTCCAAAGGCTTCTAAAGTTCGAAGTTGTCTCGTATTATTGTCACCTCGTGCATGTCACTCTTTGAAAAAAAAATCACACCGCGTCGACCGAAAAGTTGCCTTTTACTTTTTGTGTCGGTCAACCTTTGTCCCGTTTTCTCTTCTTTTATTTACGTGAGCCTATTTTTTTAGTTTTGAGTAGTGTGGGCGTTGCTCATCCTCTCATTAACTTCTTTTTAAACTTCAAGATAAAAAATCCCAGGCCAACCACAGGTGATCTTTTATTTTATCAGTGTGTTTCCTTATTTATCTGTTTTAGAACGCCAAACAAATCTGTGCACTCCTAATGGGAGCTGTCCTGCTAGTGTCTGTCTGTGCGGCTGAGGAGAACAAGCTAAAAAGACGCTTTTTTCTCGGAGGTAAGCACATTCGTTTTGTTTTCAACGGGATATTCAGCTGTCAGTTTTGTGTAAGGATGTGTCAGTGTATACCTAATCAACAAGGTGTTTTACTAGATGCAGTGCTTACATGAATACATCATGGGGTGATCTGTTAGCCGGGCGTGTATTGCACTCAACTGGGATCGAGACTGACGTTTTAAGATTTGAGTTCCTATATAAGATATCGTAACTCATACTCACATGATTTGGTCCTAAGGGAGAAAAGACTTGACTAACTGGAGAGTGTCACAACGTGATATGAAAGTGGTGGTGAATTGGTGCTTTGCATTACGACAAGATGATTGTTCCAATGGCATTTTTTTCATATCACATTATAGTTTAGTTTTTAGTTTCAGTTTTAGTAGAGGGTTTTACGGCACTCGCAACTGCATGAGGTCATGTGAGCGCCAAGGGGTGGGTGTCAACAGAGAAGTCTTTACTGGGAATCAGACTTACTCTGCTCACCTGTCTAGCTTCAGCAACACAAAGTCTGCTTCGACTATCAAGGCACCCAGGAAATAGCAGGTCACAAGAGTGTGACAAACATACAAAAGAAGTAGAGGAAAATGACAATAGTAAGGATTAGGAAAGAAAAAGCAGCAGTTCCCTGTTGTAGATCAGGCACAGTTATGAACGTGCCATGATGAATCAGCCCATTTACAATTCTACTGTGCATGAACAAGAAATGTAAATGTCCCCCCTTTGGGAATGGCCTAAAGACATTTCTACAGTTAGTGGCACTGCCCCGGAAGGGGGGGGGGTATATCACATTATATTATTTGCCTGTGACATCAAGCATTTTAACAATTACTTCTATCTAGAACAAAGCTGAGACGCTTTTCAGTTGATAAAAAAAAACAATTGGGAATTCGTTTGATAGTCAAATGAGTCCAATTTATACCTCCTGGGGTGGCTTGAAATGAAAAAAAAACCTCTACGTAGGAATACCCTCCAGATATACCCTGAGAACATCTCCCTCAACAGCGTACGTTTAGATCTACAGGCCCCAAATGTTAATAACCTGTTCTGACTAGTTTTTCGGAACATGTATTTCCACAATCCTGTTCCTACTTTGTGGTACTGATGATGATGATGATGATGATGATGATGATGATGATGATGATGATGATGATGATTTGAACGAAGATTTCTTCCTGGAGTCTACCATGCCCCTTGTAGGGGAGACGTAAACTCCCGGAAAAATATTCCAAGCAAATGACTTTTATTCACTGTCGTGTAATTGTGCAAGAAGAAGTTCACAGGTAGTATATACAGTGTTAATTTTAGCTGAAAAGTGGGTCTCTTTGGCAGCTGTTTTGGAATTTCAAACCAGTTTCTTAGTGCAGATGAATTTCATAGTTTGGCGCACAAGGGCAAGTCTAAGTGGACTGTGGATTTAAGTAAGTACATGTATATTCACTAATTTTTAAAAAATTATTAAAAAGTGAGCCCAAAGGCAATGGACCCCCGAGAGTCAGTTGACGAAACTTTGGAGTATTTGTTAGAATAATAGAAAAAAATGGATTGTTTCCACCAGTTATCAATATTTCCGAATTTTCTCACATAGATCCCCAACCAACAACCGGTAACCAGCCAGCCCAAGGTCCACTCACCATCAACTTGAGCACCCAGCAGGTTCAGATCTTGCGATCTTTCCTTCCGTTTCTTTTGAATGGAGGTAAACGGTTAATGATAATAATACTACATTTACAGGACGATCCCCTCCCCCAAAAAAACCCAAACCTTTGCAACATTTTTTCTGAATATCTCACACAAAATGTGTACTAGAATGTTGCAATTTGGAACAGATAAAAGACTTTTTTTATACATAAAATTCCTAAGGAACTGGCGACGAGGCATTTACAGATCTCAATAGGCCTATTTTTAAAATAAATTACTCATTTTTTACACGGTCTTGTGACAACTAATTCCTTACTATGGATCTTAAGTCTTTCAGTTGTGCCATATTTCTTTTGTTTTTGATTGTTTTGAGTGTGTCAGTGCAAATTCACCAATGCCAGTGTTTTGAGTGAAGTTCCAGCTTTGGGACTGGCCTTCAGCTCAGTGTACCGCACACAATGTCGATCTACCACGTGAATTATGAGACCACGTAAACGGGGAAGGAAGGGAGGAGTGAGTTTCAAAGTGAGGAGAAGATCATTTAAACCGTTTTTACCTACAATCGTAACTGGTAACGCAAGGTCATTAAATAATTAAATGGATGAACCCTGTGCAAACGTTAGGTGTATGCACGAGTATAGAGAGGCCTCGCTTATTTAGCGAGACGTGGTTCAAGGACAGTATGCCTACCAACAGTGTCGGCAATGACGGATTCCATCTGGTACGTTGTGACAGAACAATAGCCTCAAACAAAGAATGAGGCGCAGGAGTGTGTGTGTGTATTATGTGAATGAGAGGTGGTGCAGCCGCAAAAATAGTCTGTTAAACTCCCACTGTGTACCCCTTGACGTTGAATGTTTAACTTTTGTTACAGGCCCGCACTATCTACCGAGAGAATTTCCTAAAAAAACAGTCAACATTGTTTGTTTTTCACCACAAGCTAATGTTAAAGTTGTCACAGACACTTTCCTAAAAATGATTAAGTAATGACAATTTTCTTCTCCAGAGGGTGTAATATAAATTGTTATTGTTACCACTGGGGATTTTAACCAATTATGCTCTTTAACTTCTGCCCTCCCCACTTTCTATCAAATGTACCAGCCCGTGAGGACAAAACTATTGACCTATGTTATGTAAATGTTTCTGATTGTTACAAATGAATCTCTCTACCTCAAACAGGAAACTCTAATCTTTACATGTCTCTTTTATTACCAAAGTACAAACCTAAATTAAAATCTTCAAAGCCAATATAAAAAGTTGTCGCCATCTGGAGAGAAGAAAACAGGAAAGCTGAGAGGTAGCTTTGAATGTAGAAATTGTAATGTTTTTAAAGATTCATATAATAGTATAGATGAATTAAGTGAGACTATCGCTGGTTACATCAGGTTTTGTAAGGATCTACATTCATCTAAAAAAGAAGTTATCTTCTACCCAAATACCAAGCCATGGGTTAGCAAGGAGTTAAAGGAAATATTAAATGAGAAGAAGAAGAAATTCAAACTGAAAGACCACCGTGACAAATTAAAAATAACGAATATGTTAACACAAAAATAACGTGGCAATGTTTAAAAACTATAGTTGGAGACGCACCAAGGCGGGCAAACATTTCTACACATTATGACACCAACCCTGGTCAGTACATTAGTGGTGAACAAACGGAATTCTTTATTGTGTAGTAATGTGTATGCCAATTTTGGTGCTTGTATGACAATGTGAATGATTTTACACTTAGCTGCCTCACTATATAGATCTAGACTCGTTTTGACAACCACGACTTCTCCGACCAGCTGACAACTATCAAAGAAACGATTCAAAGTGACTGCACAGACGACAACAACACAGACGAAGACTATGACAAGAGCAAGGAAATTTGTGTGATTAATGTTAATGAGCTCAAGATCATTTTAGTCATCAGAAAGCTCTCAAAGCGAATGGACCCCATGGAGTAAAAAGTAAAATTATGAAAATGTGTTCTACTCAATTTCTCTCATTCATACTGATATTTTCAATATAATATGTCTTTAAAAGAACAAATGATACATGTACCACTCTCGTTCTTAAATAACATCTAGATCTAGATCTACAAACACATAGACACTCCAGTAAATTATTGCAGGATAGGCCTACTTTTTGCTGATTTTTCATCCGCTTTCAACAAAATCCAACCCCACATAATAATAGTTTCGAAATTAATTAACATGAACATAAATAAGAACATTATAGCTTGGATTCTTGAGTTCTTAGCCAATCGACCTCAGTATGTAAAATTTTAAATGGTGTAAAATTGGACCTAATATTAATATTCACGAACACTGGTGCGCCCCAAATGTTGTTTAATCTCCCCTGTCATGTTGTCGCACTACACCAACGACTGTAGCCTACTTTTAATAATAAAAACATCAAACTAATAGTATTTTCGGATGATTCCTCTTTACATAGCCTCATAACAACAAAGAATGAATACATGGGCACAGAAAAAACATAACTAGGGAACCTAAACAAATGGGTAACAGGGAAAGATCACGGAAACGTAGCTTTTTTTAGTTTTAGAGCATCCGAGCAAAGGAATGAATGGAAAACCATGATCGCCGATGTCTGTCGCAGATCTGGCACTGGATGATGATGAATCCGATCCTGCACTAGGAATAGCAGTCTGTCAAAAAGATTTTTTGAGAAATACTGAAAGTTGCAAAGGGATCTTTGCTCTAGAAGTATTCTAAAATGTGAAGAATACAACCCCCGGAGAACAAAAATGGCCCCAGGCGTACGGATAGGGTTAAGAAGTTTTCATGTCGATAATAGAATTATATATATATCCCTGTTATACCATTCTATGATTGAAAGCGTGTTATTATTTTGTATTTGCTGCAGAACAAGGAATTGCTGGGTGAAAGATTTTTTTAAGGGGGAGGGGGTGGGGCTACACCCCCAAAATCAAAATTCGGCTCAAAATCATGGAATTTTAGTTGTAGGCATTTTTAGCTTCCTCAGTCTCTCCTACAACTATTTCATGGCATAAGAACCCCCCAAAACCGTATTTTTTCCCATACCGGGCATTTTTGTAACCGCCATTTCCTCATAAAGTCAGTATTTTATTTTTCTTTATCGGCCGTTTTCTCAAAATGCGACATTTCTCTATACTTTTTTTAATAACTCCACCATTTTTCATCCAATCTTCATGAAATTTTCACAGAATGAAGAGAAGAGGTAATACTAAAACTTTATTTGTTGAATTTTTGATATATGGAATAGATTTTTGTTGGTGGTGTCTGGAGTGTTGATTTTCACGGATTTTTCGCAAACTTGAATTCTACCTCAGGAAAAAATTCATTAAAATTTTTCTAATTCGATTAGGAAAAAAAACAACAGACAAATTTTTAGATCTAATGTTTTTGAACACGCATGCAAAAAAAAATCAATTTCCATGAGCGATAAGTGCGGTATTACTATGCTTGTTATATGTGTGAAATTTTGTAAAATTCGGTCCAGTAATAGGCGAGATAGCCTCCAGGTGTAGCCCCCCCCCCTTCGCCCCCCCCCCCCCCCACCCCCTTAAAGTTTTGTTTTGACCGAACCATAAAAATGCCAGTAAGAACTCTGGATATATGAAATTACTAGAATTGATGAAATGTATAACATCACAAGTATAAAAAAGATAAAAAGCATTAAAAACGACCCATTACACCCCCTTCCCACGTAAATTGTAAGATCAGGCAGCGGCAGATAATATTGATGTAGATCTACCTCTAAAAACAAAGAAAGAAAGATAAGTTGTTTTTTTACCATCTAGCATAAGACTATTGTCAGAATAAGCATCAATGTGTATTGCTATTTCGAGGGTGTATTATATAATAGATCTGACTCTAAAAGTCTTATTGTTATTAAATTCCTGCATGTGGTTGAATAATACATCTGATGCGATATAATTAACATGTGCATTTTGTCATCTTTACTTCTCTTTTCATATTGAATTTTAATGAGAGTAACAAATAATTTTAATTTGTTTATACCTGCGTGTGTTTTACGGTCCTGTGCAGACAAACAAAATTCCCTCTGGGATAATAAAGTATTATCTCATTTTATCTTATCTTATTTTCGAAAAGGCGAAATAGCTTTTATTTTTTTTTTAACTATTCAATAAACGCAATACGCACCAATTGAAAATGATTTTGTAAGGAAATTCAAGTCATGAATTGGTTGGGTCCACCCCCTCCCTATTGATAGGCCATGTTTGTAAAGATTCACTTGCACAGCACTTTACGAACTTGATCTTCGGCTCAAAAAAAAAGGGGGGGGGGGTGCTTTCGAAATGACTTTTCCTTTTTCTGTAGGCTATACATTCGCCGCGACAAGGGGTGGGGAAGGGGGAGTGGGTATTTTTTTGGAGGGTGGTTTTTTTGGGGGTTTTTTTGTTATTTTTTTTTAAGTTGGAAGGTGGGGGGGGGGGGGGGAGCAAAGAACTGTGGCCATGACAGTGCGGTCCAGAAGTACAGGTCTATAGAATGAAACACATGAATATTATTATCTATATATATGTATATATATGTATATATATATATATATACATAAATATGTAATATATTATAGCCGTCATGAGTTAAACATACCCTTCACATGTTATTGTTCTCTTCCAGGAGAACTACCAGCAGGCAAATAAACTGACAGCTCACATGAAGGAATTCTTGGATTCTGGACCACAACGACATGAGCCTTCACGTTGATGACGTCAAAGTTTTATTCCAAGACACGATTTGAGGTCGAACGATTAGCTCCGGAAAATGTTGGGCCTAGCAATGATCCTTGAATAAATGGAATAATTGTAAAATTTCTTACAGTTTGTTGCTGTTTCTATTGTTGTTGTTGTTGCTGTAGTTGTTGTTGTTGTTATTGTTGTTGTTGTTGTTGTTATATGAGTGTGTATGTGTGCGTGTTTGTTATTTTGTTAATGAAGAGTTATTTTAATTGTCTGCAGACAAACTAGCACTCTTTCTTATGCGTGTTTTTTTTCCGTGAAGACCATCGATTTCATAGCATAATTTCTTTCATCCAGTAATCTCAGTCATCGTTGTTTGTTTGTTTTCTGTTTTTCACACTGCTTTTATTGAATGCATTGCAAAGAATTTCTGTGTCATAGACACCCCCCCCCCAAAAAAAAAAAAAAAATTTAATCGAATCTCTTTTATCTTTTGGGAACATTTTATATATCTAATTCTGCTTCCTGGCGAAATGAGGCCACTGTCCGGCTCTCTCGCATTTGTCCACAACTTACCCAGCTCAACTTTTGATAGATTACTGTTCCGTATTTCGATTTTCAACGAAAGTGCATCTTCTACACGCCGTCTCTATTGGTGTCTATGATGCAGCGGGAAAAGATACAACTGAAATGGTTTGTGGAGCATTCGTCCCAGAGCGAAGCTGTATGAAGTGTACAGATAGGTGGGATGACATCATTAATACGGTAAAATAATATTATTATCTTGATGGAGTGATGTTGTTTTGGGCGAAAGGTCTACCAGAGAGAAGTCATGTAGAATGTGAAAACTTTGAACGTGAAGGTGGGTTTCTTTTATATACACGTGGGTGTATGCGCGCTCGCGCGCACGCACGCACGCACACACACACACACACACACACACACATACACACACACACACACACATACACACACACACACATATACACACACATAAACAAACTCACACAAACAAGCACACACGCATGAATCACATGTGTATGTTGCAATAAGTGCATTATGACTTTCTGCAAAGACACTTACGGTGTAATTTCATCCGAGTAAAAGGACTCCCGTTGTGGTGTATTTTTTTCTCTGAGAGAAACTGTTGTAAGTTGTAAGATACATTTAGCAAACTATGTTGACCCTTCCTATGACAACTTTGTGTGACACTGGATGAAACAACTTGAGGTCTTTCATGCGAGGTCACGCCGTCATTACCAATCATTCCACTTTCTCTCTCTCTCTCTCTCTCTCTCTCTCTCTCTCTCTCTCTCTCTCTCTCTCTCTCTCTCTCTCTCTCTCTCTCTCTCTGTCTGTCTATATTTATGTGTTTCTATGTCGAATTTCA